GGGTCTTGCTCTTGCTTAGGCTGGTCTCAAACTCCTGAGCTCAAACAATCCTGCCTCAGCCTCCCAGAGTGCTAGGATTACAGGCGTGAGCCAACGTGCCTGGCCAGTAAATGCTAACTTAAAAGCTCCTCAGAAGACTTCTGTGTATATCTTGACAAGAACTTGTCATATTGCCATACACTTAGCTCAGGGGAGGTAGGGAAATCATGTTTTTCTTTTCCTGGGTTGAGGAAGGCAAGGAGTAAGAGGTTGGGAGTGAATGTTGAGTTTAAACTAACATACAGTGTCTGCTACCCTATTCTTCTAACCCATTTGTCATACTATTATGACAAAGCTGTTTTTCTGACAACTATTATGAATAGCATTCTTTCTGAAATCTTCAGTGGCTCATCATTGCTTACAGAATCAAATCAAAATTCCTTAGTTTGACATACAAGGCCATTCATATCTGATCCCAGCTTACTCACTAATTCTATCTTCCCTCTCCCTGTCTACCCTACTATCAATGTATATCACATTTATGACATACCACTTGTTTCTTGAACGTGTTTTGTTCTTTATTGCCTTTTTCTCTGCCTATGCTAGTGTCTCCTCTTAGAATGCTCTTCTGTCTCATTCTGCTCCACATTCTAACTTCCTACCCATCCATCAAATCCAATTCCAGTGTCACCTTTCTCAATTCTCCAAGTTAGAATTTAGATGTTTGCTCTTCTACATTCCCTTGTACTTGTTATTTATAGATATGATAGCTCACATAATTTTTTGTACTTAGTATTTTCTCACAGACAAGGCTCCTTGTGGGTATGGCTGGATCATCTTTGTGTAGCTTCCATGCCCATGAAATGCCTAGTACATAGTAGGAACTCACATGTTCTACCTTGCTGGTTGCATCACAGGATATAAAAATAGTTATTAATATAATTCCACCAAAGGGCTTATACTCTACTAGGAAGGAGAGAAACATATACAAATACAGTGTTGTATGTGGTATCTGCCCTAATATGAGTACAACCAAAAAGCTATAGATGTTCAGAGATCAAATATAGTTCTGGGACAATGTCAAGGAAGCAGTGGTACTGGAGCTACTCAAGGTGGGGAAGCAGTTCACTTGTTAGTTCTTTACAAGTAAGCTCTTCAGAATTTAGCTCTAGTGTTTGAAATGAATTTGTTTTACCTCAAATTTGTTTATATCCAAACACACCCATATTTCATCAAATCTAAGACACATCACATAGCTTTAAGAAAAAAAATATTGCCAGTTGATCATTACAGTTATCCCAATTTCAGATATGTTAAAATGTGAAAAAAATAAAAATAGCCCAAAGCCAAGTATAATCGATTTTTGGATTATCAGCACTGCTACTAACCATTAGTATATTAGTTTGGATAATGGAGAACTGACTGGATCTGCAAAATCTGTTTCGGAGTAAAAGATCTACTCAAACAAGAATATAATGATCACTTGCTTTATTGTACAACATTCAAAGTCAAACTGCTATTAGGTGACATTCAAATGTTGGAGGCTAGGTTGGGACAAGTTATTATGAGGCCTCTTTCATTCTTCCCTTGCCATGTCCATGAGTTCTTCTCTGTTAAACCTGAACAGATGCCAGCCCTCTTCAGAGGAAAGGTCTAAAGCCCCTCGACGAGTGTAGTACTCAACAGAAGCCTCATTCCAAATGACGACAAGAAATTGCATGCAGTTACATTGGCTTCTGATGGCTATCTGTTTAAAAACAAACAAGTAAAGATTACTTTTATTTGAAAGTATAGACTTCATTAACACATTTATTTTATTGAAGGTCTACTATGTGCAAGGCGCTATATTTGCTCAATACTTCCAAATAATAATACAGTAGTTACAGTTTGGACTTCTCTATAGCTGTAAAAAGAAAAAAGTCCCACTGTTATGAGCTTTAAAACCTCTGTCTTTAAAAGCCCAAAACTGATTGGCAAAATCTTTATTCTATAGAAAATGTTTGCCTAAAAGAACACATATTCTTATATATTTCCAAAATACAAAAGGATCTCGCTTTTATACTCTTCTCACATTCATACTGTGGACCTATTTTATGAATAAAATTGCCTTCTAATCTCCGTCATGCTTACTTGATAGCAAAAAAGGGTTATAGTGTGGTTGTGGATTATATATAAATCAATTTTTAATTAAATATAACTCATATTTATATGAGTATGTGATTAGAAAATCTAGTTTAATTTGAATAAAAATTTGAAGTATATGTTGGGGTATATTCAAATGAGATTAATAATTTATGCCCTGTTAAATCATATTCAATGAAGAAAACGGTAATATATCGAATAGCAATATTGATTATAATACATACCTGACTAAGCCTCTTCAGCATTTCAGCTCCAATACCTAGATCTTTTAAATAGATAATGCAAAATGAAAAGCACAAATTCCACTTAACTAGTTATTTGCTTTAGTTTAAAAGAAATAAGATATAAAACCCAGTATGTGATTGTTACATATTCTTGATAGCTTGTGGAAACATAACTCATGAATCTTTTTCCTAATTGAAATGTGGTACCAAAGGGTAATAGAAAAAGACTTTGGGTTTACTTTAAAGGTCATTGAAGAACCCTTCACTATTGTCTTATAACACAGTAACAGGGTATATTTCTTATCTATTTCTACTCAAAACCAAACTAAAATGTAAAAGCATTTTT